GGTGAAAACGTGCCGTAAGCTCGGACTCGGCTTCGGCTATGAGGAAACCGACAACAAATGATCAGGTGCTGAACTACCACAGTAATCATTATACGTGTCACCTGAGAAGCTCTAGGCACACTTTTTTTTCGTCATACGGACACATTGTAGCTCGAAAACTCCGATATCAGAAGCGAATGCATTCGTTCCATCAGTTCGGCACAAATGGATACCCCAAAAGTTTCGTCCAATCCTTTATCAGGGAAAAAAGAAGACCAAAGGCTGAAGAGAAGAAAATGCAACTCTTACTACCTTATATACGTGAGGGATCAGAAGTCGGTGGCCTCATCCTTCGCCCTCTAAGTACTACCACCGCCCACACTGCGCTCAATTTTGTTCAACGGTAAGGATCACGTAGTCAGGTTGTGCTTGTTTCCAACCGAGTCCTAACCCCGGAGGCTAGTGCTGAGATGAACGAGATCTGGGGCCTGCAACAAGTTCACAAAGATGGGTTGTGCTATATTGTGTAGATAAAAAATGACAAACGGTCTGATCAGCTGGTCGGAGGCCGAGTGGGTCGACACTCCTGTTTAGTGGCAATACTCGTCCATCAAACCGCAATGCATATGCACTGCGAGTTTGGCAGCGAGCAGTGAAGTTCGCTTCTCTGTACTTCGCTGTAAGATGATAATGATGATGATGAGTGGGTGGCATGTTTGTATCCTGCCCGTAAGGTCCTGGGTTCGATCCCTAGTTGGGTCGATGGATTTGCATTGTAGATGAGACCCAACCAGGTCGAAACAGCTGTCCAGTGCTTCCTAGCTTTTCAGTTGTCGCTTCACTTGCTATATACGTGACGAATTTCACCTTTGAAATATTTATATATACATATATATTTGATAATAAGTATAATGTGAATGGATGGACAAAATTTCCCTGGAAGCACACCACCGGTTTCGCGGTTCTTGCCGCTCGTCAGGCATGCGTATCCGGTAATCTTTTGTCAGCTCATTCATATACTTGTACCCAGGAAGTGTA